GCCTCGGTTTCGGGACGGTTTGCATTAGAACCGGAGGACAATGCATTCGGGGTTTGGCGGTGTAACCTGAGGCAGCCGCCGCACTTACTTATGTACTTACTTCACTGGCAGTACGCGAGATTAAAATCTCCGCAACTAAATTAAATTACTTTGTGTGAGGTTTAGATCTAGCACGTTGGTAGCTCTGGCGTGGCCGAGACGGAAGAGTAACTTCACCATGTTAAAATTACCACCATACTAACTTGTGATGTGATTTGTATTAATTGTGTAGAGAAAATTCCAAGAAAATATCCTACCATTGTAGCGTTCAGGAACAATTTACCTTGGAACACTCTATCGAACTGTCAAAAATATTACTAAAAACACTTAAAACACTAAGAAACTATAAAACGAAGTAAACACTTAACTACTATTTATTTATATATCACTACTGTACAAGAGTCTATTTATTTGCACGTATATTTATTTATTTCGTCGCGAGTACCAAAGCTTGACTGACTGCTCCATGCTGCGCTGTTCCTTATATACTCAGTGCCTACGTGCCTTCCCGAATATTTCAGCGAGCTCCGGACCGTTCTAGATCGCTCGAGCGCTGACTCACCGGAGATGACTCATCGGCGATGAGTCATCATTCCGAGATCACTAATAAACACTCACGTGCAAAATAATCGATCCACACAAATTTTCGATGAATTTCAATCGCAAATAACTTTTTTATTTGATGTCAGATTTAAACGAATATTAAAGAGTATTGTAGATAAATTAATTTACAATTCTCACATTTAAAAAAAATACAGGTTTAAACAAAAAGATGTTTTTTACCATAAGTTTAAGACACTCTATAGAGTGGCAAAACCGTATGTTGTTCTAAATTAAGTTTTATTTATTAAGTCACATCTATTCTTAACAGTTTTGTTTTTGGTTCACCTCGATATATTTATTTTATGAAAAATATGGATTTTTTTCTGTATGAAGAACTAAGGTTGCTATGGTGCATCCATAGCCTATGAAGAATGACAGTGACAGTTTTGTTGAATCATCCCATACTTGGACATGTCATATACAGCTTTCAAAAGCTATCAAATTGTTTTTTGTAAATTAATGTGTTAATTTCGAGGTGTCTTCTTACTTTTAAAACTGTCTCCGACTGATGTTGCCCTTTGTACTTTACTTCTTATGACGTTTAAAACACTTGCCACGTAATACTGTGACCTTCCATCCTGGATTAAATTAATAGCTCTGGCAACATCAGTCGGAGACATATCCATTTTATAAAGTAAGAAGACACCTCAAAATTTAAACATTAATTTGCAAAAAACAATTTAATACCTTTAAAAGCCGTGTATGACATGTCCATGTATAGGATGATTCAACAAAACTGTCACTGTCATTCTCCATAGGCTATGGATGGACCATAGCAACCTTAGTTCTTCATACAGAAAAATATTGTAAATTGCAATGTTTTTTTAAAAAATCCATATTTTCCACAAAAATAAATATATCGAGGTGAACCAAAAACAAAACTGTTAAGAATAGATGTGACTTGATAAATAAAACTTAATTTAGAACAATATACGGTTTTCTCACTCTACAGAGTGCCTTAACTTTATGGTAAAAAACATATTTTTGTTTAAACCTGTATATTATAAACGTACTTCTATTTTTTAGTATTTTTTTAAAATATGAGCGATTGTCCATTAATTTATCTACAATATTCTTTAATATTCGTTTAAATCCGACATCAAATAAAAAAGTTATTTGCGATTGAAATTCATCGAAAATTTGTGTGGATCGATTATTGTATATTCCATTAAAAAATTTATTAGATAATTTAGTAAAACAAAATTTGTATTTTTGTTTTATTATGATAATTAAAAAAAACATTTTAATTAAAAACACAAATCATAAAAATATTTTTTATCATTGCAAAAAATACTAGTCAGTACAAACGTTTATATAAATGTCGTCAAGAAACTAAGTATTTAATAATTTTGTATTTCTGTATTAAAATAATAAAATAATGTCCAAATTTAAATATTATTTCACACAATTTATCTTTTACTAAATATTTAGGTTATTAGGTGGGTATTCAAAAAGCATTCAATATTTAATTAAAGTTGTGTAATTGTATAAATACATAATTACACAACACAGCCAAAATACGAAAATGTTATTTCAAATTTAAATTAAAATTACACCCTAGCAAACCTTAGCCACAACTCTGCACAATACCGACAATATAATTTTGCGGCTCAAATAATTTTATTATTTACCCAAATGCCTAAAGTTTATTATAATTTACATAAAACCCTCGGTATAAGTATAAAAAAGGTTGAAAAGTTATTTTTTGTTTGGACTCTGACATATTTGAGTAAGTTGCTATTGTACATTAATTTCATTTTATAAAGTTGGTAGTTGAAGCTGTCACGGTTTTTGAACCATTTAAAGTAAAATATTTCCAATAATATTATATATATGTTCAGTGATAGGCAAAAGTATGAAAGAAATTTATTAAAAATGTGCCCTTTTCCCGAAAAAAATTCTTAATTTTGTGGTCTGTTCAAAAGTTTTAATAAAACTTAAAATTAATATTGTACTATGATCCACACCTCAAAGTCCCACCACTTTATGTATCTGTCAAAGTATAGTCAACGAAAGAAATAATATTATGTTTAGGCGTTTAAAATGTATAAATCTTTATAACATTACTATAACAATGGATGGTTTAAGAATTTAAGAATATAAATACTGCATTTAATAAAATTCCAAAGTGTATGGTGCCAAATAAGTAATATTTTTGTGCATTTGGACCAAATATCTGGTTTTCTCCATAAAATAATTTGAACTAAACAGCATTTATTAAAAAAAAATCTAGCTTCTCTATTATGGAATAAGAATATCTGTTTTAAAGGTAGGTTAATATATTATAACAAAAATATCATCTAATTTTGTAATTTTAAGGTTGTAAAAATTTATTTTGACCAAATAAATAAGTATTTTGGATTATTTAAAAGACTGTATAATATGGTATTTAAAAATGTGGTACTTTTTCTTATCCAGCTTAAAGTGTACCTACATAAAGTTTTGTCAATACAAATAGTTAAAAAGCTTCGACTGAACTTGATCTACATCGAAAAATCATTATAACTTTAAAAATTTTAATAAATCACATGTCATGGGAATATTAAATAATTTCACATTGCAAGTTTCTCTAAAAATTGTTTGTTTTCTTATAATCTAACTTAAAGTAGGTATGCCGAGAGGTATGCACAAGTTTTGTCATTAGAAGTTTAAAAGCTTCAATTTAACTTGAACCATATTCAACAATTACTTAGTACATTTATTTATGACCATATTAACACACTCTTCCAAATAATCCACTTATTTATTTTGGTCAAAATAGATTTTTCTAACCTTAAAATACAAAATTAGATGATATTTTTTGTTCTAGTACATTAACCTACCTTTGATACAGATATTCTTATTTCATAATAGAGAAGTTAGATTTTTTTAATAAATGCTGTTTAGTTAAAACTATTTTATGGAGAAATGTACACCCAATGCACAAGAATATCACTTATATTGCACCTTACACTTTGGAATTTGAATAAATGCAGTATTTATATTCCTACATTCTTGTTATTGTTATTGTGATACTATAAAGATTTATTAACTTTTAACGCTTAAACATAAGCGGTAACACTATAAATATTATTTCTTTCATTGACCATACTTTGACAGATACATAACCTGAAAAGCCTTAAATGCCAAATTTTCAAAAGACTGCGTTCCGTACGTGGTCACGTGGTGGGACTTGAGGTGTGGAGCATAGTACCTATCTAAAGTATTGTAAATTAAAAAAGTAAAACATTGTTTACCTAGTAATAACACGTTACTATAAAATAAAGTATTAATCCTTAATATATAGAATTCATTAGTTTTAATAATCAAAACCGAACGAAATATTAATGGTTGGTCAAATGCTTAGTAATGATCATTATTATTATAAAATAACTATGTTCTAGTTTTACATATAAAGTAATCAGTGCGTAAGCACTGATTAATTTTTAAGTGCCCTTTCCCAAAGTTATAGCAATAAGTACAAAATTTAAATATTCAGTTTTTTTGTGTTTGAGCTTTTTAAAATTGAATTATAAGCCCATTACTGATCTTCGCACAGTGGGGTAAAATAATTAGAATATATCTGTTCTGTTGTTATTTTCACGTTAACAAAATATCAACTTGTTTAATGACCGAATCTTCTTTGAATTATTTTTTTTAAATCATCAAAGCCCTCTAAAATGTACATTTTACAGGGGTGAATATATAGAAATGTCCCCCAAGTGAAAATGATTATTTTTTATTTTTGGTTGTTTTACTGTTGGTTTAGAATGGGGTTTTTGGGAAGCCACCATGCCTAGTAATAACATAACATAAGTGGTTCTGCACTAATGCAAGAATTTTAAGAAATTATACATTTTGGATATTACAGCTTCACGGAGGTTAGGATTTCGTATGTTTTTTTATTTGAAATAAGTTATTGTATCTTTTGACAACTTAATATTTTTTAAAAATACAATTGTACATACATAAAATATTTATAAAAAAAATCTACTTACTGAGAAATTACACTTCACGGTGGATAGGTTTTTAAATAGCAAATTAATGAACTTAAACTTTTGAATTATAAAACAGCAACACTCTCATCTGCATATAAATTCTAACTGACCTTCAGGAATCACATGCATCTATAATGTCGCAAACAGAGGTTTTTGCTTATTTAAGATGATTAAAGCGTAAAGTATAAAATTTAAAGCAAAAACAGATTCACGGAGGATAGAATTAATTTCTGTAACACCTACATAAATGGTTATAAAAATTATTTCTTTTAATTTTTAAGAATATTTTATATTTGATTCGATTGCTTTGGATATGTTAATGTCTTCAAAAATGGTCCTAGCAATATAATAATAATACTCTGTTATGTAATTTAAACTTACCGTAATTTGTAAAGAGGTGGGAAAAGAACAGCAACAATGTAAATTCCCAAAAGCTTCTACTTCTACGCATGTTGTTCAGATAATATACAACTTTTCTGAAAAAAAAAATAACAAAATTAGTATTTTTTTAACTAATATTTATATTATAACATGCTACCACAACATGTATTTTTATCAGCCTATGTATATATATTGGTGGTAATTAGCGAAAAAATGATTGTTGTTTACCTTAATGACTTATGCGAAATGCCGAAAAATGCTCGTTATTTAATTTTAAATGATGTTCCTCGCTGAAGGAAAATAATACAGGATATAGTCTAATTTAAACGTCCACGCGAAATCCAAATTACCCACCCTTTTTTAGGGAAAAACTTTAATGACACAAGGGTTGACCTAAATACCGCAAGTCAAAGAATTTAATTAGGGGACAGGGTATGGATGTTTTTGGCGCCCGCAGAAAAAAAAGCGGAGCCTGCTTTAAAGATAACATTGTTCTAATTTAATTATGCTGGTTAATTTACAAAGTAAGATTTATGTAAAATAATGTTACTTGTTACAAAAGTAAAGTATTTAACCTTTGTTCATTAAAAGTTTATGGAGAATAGAAAAAGAAATCGATTTGAAATTTGTATAGCAATTAATAGGCAATTTATATAGCAATTATTAGGCAAGGTAAACTATTTTTTTTTAATTATTTTCTATGCGTTATCAACTTCTTTCATATGGCACCCCCCCATATAAATATTGCATTTTTAAATTCTACGTAAAATTTTAGAAATACTGAAATTTGATTTTTTTTTTATTTTTAAAAGTTTTTGGGATATTTATTATTTTTTTTTAAATTTTGACAGATGAAAGGTCTTACTAATATGTCTGTATCACCACTAATTGTAATGTTAAAAAGTTGGATGGAAAATAATTTTCAAAAATAGTTTACCTTGCCTAATAATTGCTATATAAATTTTAAAACGATATCTTTTTTGTTCTCTATAAACTTATAATGAATAAGTTAGGTGAATCACCATATATATATATTATATATATATACAGGGTGAGTCAATTAACTTGAAACTTTGAAATATCTCAGATAGTATGCATTTTAAGAAAAAATGTTATAAATACTATTTCCAATTAAATATAGGGATAAATCAAAATTTTAAACTCAATAATTAAACGAAATTTATTGGTAGACAAGGACCAAACATATAATTGACTAATTTAAATGTTTTATGAATGCGTTTAAGCAAGTTTTGTCCATTATTTTCAATTAAATATTGCATATTTTACTGCAACATTCCCATAAATCACGGACAAAGCATAAAATATGTTATTTATTACCTATAAATATAAAGCTGTTAATAAAGGTTCTCTTTATAGTATGGAGTATTTTATTTTATAAATTAATGATTTTTAGGTGTGAATTAGGTACCTACCCAAAAACGGGATAAATATTTTCTCCTGTTACCTCCATAATAATAGTTATTTGTCAAAAAAACTATTGAGAGCAAAACTAAAAAAAGAAATTATATTTGTTCATTTTAAGATTTTTAAGAGGTTTTTTCAAGCCGCGGAGATAACAATAAAAAAATGTCACTAAATGAACTTTTTTCTTTAAATCGTCCACAAATTAGAAGGATATACGAGGTGTGTTCAGAAAATATCGGGAATTTTCGTTTTTGGAAACAAATATTTATTTATTCGCCTACATTAATGTTGTCGCCTTCAAAATAGTCCTCATTGGATATTATGCACATGTGCCAGCTCTTCCTCCAATACTCGAAACACTTCTAAAACTCGATCTTTGGGATAGCCTTTAGTTCATCTATGCTTGCAAAACGACGGCCCTTTAAGGTTCTCTTTATTTTTGGGAATAGGAAAAAGTCAGACAGAGGCATGTCTCGCGAATATGGAGGCTGGGGCATCATTATAGTATTGTTTTTGGCCAAAAATTTTGTTCAAAATTTAACAATTTTAGAACAAATTTTGCTGCCACGCGTTTTATACCCAAAACATTCGAAAAAATTTCATGGGATGAGACAATCGATATACCAACATCATCAGCGACTTCTCTGATGGTTTATAACCATTTCTTCCACTTTTTCCATGTTTTTATCGGTTGTTAATGTGCTTGTGCGTTCGGGGCGTTCGTCATCTTCAACGTCTTCACGGCCATCTTGGAAACTCTAATACCATTTGTAAACTCTTGTTTAACTTATAGCAGACTCACTATAGGCCTTTGTTAACATTTCACAGAATTTATTTAATTTTTTAAGCAAAATTGGATACAAATTCTTTGATCCATTTCTTTTAACGAATGAAAAATCGCCGAGCTCATAAAACACGTCTAACCTTAGCGGCTGCCACAGACAAAGTAAACAATGAAAACAGCTAAAGTTTGTATCATACTTCGGGGGCATGAATACCAACATAATTTAACAATTCCCGTTATTTTCTGAACACACCTATTTTTTATAGTTTCAGGTATGGAGACTTAATACCATCCCAATTAAAAACTGTTTGTATGTGTATAATGAATATTTAAATAGATAAATGAAAAAAATATTTTAATATCCATTAGCTACACACAATATATTCATATTATGAAATTTATATATGATATTATTTTGAATGTTTTTTAATTTGACCAAAATTAGAATTTATTTGGAAGGAAAATTATTATTTTCAATGTGAAATTGGTGGTTTAAATAACAAAAAGCAATTAAAAGGAAAGCTTTTGTAAATGTTAATTTTTTTTTTATTTTTACGCCATTACTTTTATTTTTATTATAAAGTATAAAAAGTATACTTAATATCCTTGAGAATGGTTTCATCATAAGGTACTAATTGACAAACTATGGTACTATGGTATAAAAGGCATAACATTCAATTTAATAGAAAATTATCTCCAAGAAAGATATCAAACAGTCTTCATAAAAAACGAACTTTCTAAATATGCTAAAATAAATATGGGTGTTCATCAAGGGTCAATGTTATTCCTCTTTTATATAAATGACCTCCTCACCAATTTATGGGCAAAAATGACTCTTATATTTGCGTGTAATGTTGCAACAGAAGTTAGTGAACTCTTAAGAAAAGAAACAGAACGCATAGATAATATCATAGCAAAAATGGTTTTTAGAAAACAGATAAAAAATGAACGAAAAAAAAACACAAAACATCACTTTCAATCTACAAAAAAACAACAACAAAATCAAAGCGTAAATTTTCTTGGTGTATTGATCTAAGGTCATTAAACGACAAATCATTTAAATCAAATAACAAAAATATTACGAAAAAAGCTTATTACTCGATAAAAGAGTTTCTGAATGATAAATTGAGGGAATGATTACTTTGATCGATAGTTTTATAATTGGGATGGTATAATTTTTAAACAAATTTCCTGCTAAACGTGATATTAATTTGTAAATGTTTTTCTTTATATTGTACCATATGTGATTTTAATTTTTTATTATTTTTATTAATATTATTGTTATATTATTATTTTATTATTACCTGTAGGTACTTACAAGTGTAAAAATTTGTAAAAATTTAAAACACGCAATAAATATTACACAGTAAGACAATATTTGATATTTTTTCCCTCCCTATAGATTTTGAAAATAGACTTAAAAAAATGATACCCGTGTCTCGGCGTTTTTTCAGATCACGTTATTTTTTTTAAGTGCGATCCAATAAAATGTTATCCACGGGATTCGGCACATAATATAACAGATTCGATAACAGCTAAACAGTATATTTTTATGTAAAATTTATTCACTGAATGAATGGACAACCATTAAGATTATTTATTTATTTTAAAATTATTTTAATTATATACTGGGTGTTGCACATTTACGAAATACGGGTGTTTCACGTGGTCCATTGAGAGTTTCTGAGGAACAGCAGAAGATACCGATTTGAAGTTTTTAATCCAATTAAGTCTATTTTTCTAAAATATTTTAAACAAAAGCCTCTTTCGGTTTGACCGGAAGTGACATCAACTTTGTTATTTTAAATGGAACACCCCATATAGTTTTACATTTTTAAATTCTAAATAAAATTTTGAGTAAAATTACTGTACCATGTCCTATACCTAAAGTGAACAGTTTTCTAGATGATTCTTGCTATTAGGTTTACGGATATGGGGGAAAAATAGACTTATAAACGCTTTTAAATGTCAAATATATATTTTTTCCGTTCTCCAGAAACTTCCAATGGACCACGAATGTGAAACACTCTGTATATCAAGTGGTGTTTTTAGGTTGTGATACCACTATAGATTTGAAAGCAATGTATAATCGTCAAACTAAAAGGTCAAGATTTGTTTCCAACATATATTTAATATAAGATAAATACGAATCTGTGGTTTTATTAAAAAAAAAATCAAAAATTAAAACCAGAAATATTTTTTTACTTAAAAAAAATAAAATTGTTATTTTCTTAAAGAATATTTTTTGTATTATGTAAAAACAAATATTTGAAGAAAAAAAATGATTTATAACAAAATAGAAAATTAAAAATCTGTTTAGGTTAAAATAATAAGAATGGCCGTGTAAAAAAATTTAAAAAAAATTAACATTTATTTTTAAAATCTGTTAAAAAATTTCATGGGAGGAAATTCGTTTTGTACTGTGTTAATATTATTGTTATTATAGTCTGATGTCGATAACTTTAACCCAACCAATGAGTTGAAATTCAGCAACCCCGTTGGTGTTTCTGTTTTGAATGTTTATTATTTACACAAAAACCCTTCTAAAATTCACGCTTAAACCAACATTTACATCTTTCATTTAATTAATTACACACAGTACAAATAAAGTAACTTAAGCGAATTCCCTTAAAGATACAGAATTTTCGGGCTAATGGCTATAAAGGCAACCATTATATCTATGGTGAATATCAGCGTTTATTCATCCAAAATTAGGCTAAACCGCTGCAAACAAATACAAATGTATACAATTACAGGGCAGCATTAAAACCAAACCGCACTGGCAGAGGAAGCTGTCTAACAATTCAGCTCGAAAACCCATTAAGCAAAACTAATATGCGCAATTTAAATATTAAATTGTCGTATTTGTCAACTTCACAGCCCATT